GTAGACATTCAGGATTACTCCGGAGTGTTTTCGGATTCCGGTTTTCGTTCGGATTGATATCAGACTAGCGCGGATCATTTTCGGACCTTTTTCGTACAATTTTCGGACTAATCCGTACTAATCTGTCCATATTTAATCCGGAATTAGTCCGAAATTTTTACCAGGGATAATATCAAATGTATAATTAAAAACATGTAAATCCAGATACAGTGGATGTGATAGTTTAATTCTTATAAGAAAAACGTTAAATTTACTGAAGATTTAAAAATGAACAATTAGATAAATTTTCTGCATGATTTTTTTAAGAGAACGTTTAAGCGCCTAAACTTTTGGAAGGGCCTTCCGACAGGACGCGTCTCTCTGCACATTACGGCATCTTGTCGGCAGTACGACAACCGTCCTTCAGAAAGGACGAAATTTATTTTTGTAAAGAAATATTTAAATTTTATAGAATATTATAATATATTATTTTATACATAATTTATTAAATATATTAACAAATATTGTTATTATATGTTATTTTGAGCTTAAACAAGAAATTCACTTAGAGATTTTGAAAAAATCGCCATTTTTAATGCTATACAAATATTTGAATAACTTATAAAATAGTAAACGTTTTCTAATGATTCTCTTATTATTTTAAAGGCCATTTTCAAAAGTATGAGAATTACTTCAAGTATTAACTTGTATTCTTTGCTTAAAAAATTGTAAGCAAAGCAAAGGTAGGATACCCAAATTAGAGCAAAATAATAAAAAATAGCACAGAGGGGTCGTGGGCTCGTATCCCACCATGCTACCGTTTTTTCTGAGTTCTTTGATAATTTTGAAATTATTAATTAATTTCGAAAATATTTCTCAAATTAAGCAGGTTTCTGTATTAGGGCAGCTGTGCTGTCGATACATTGAAGCCCATGAGCTTATCGAGATTTATTTAAGATATTTAATTTATTTGCGTGTAGATTGATTCGGGAAAATTGTTAACTTCTTCAAATTTAATATTTTTTGTTTTTTGTTGTGCAAAAAAGCATATAAAGAAAAAAATATTTGTTTTTGCTCAAAATTTAAGGAAAAAATTAGAAAAAAATATTTTTTTGAAAATTGTAAAAAATCCAAAATTTTGAAAATTTCAAAAAAATTCATAACTTTTTTGTTTTTTGTTGTACAAAAAAGTATCTAAAGGAAAAAATGTTTGTTTTGGCTCAAAATTTAAGGAAAAAATTAGAAAAAAATATTTTTTTTAAAATTGTCAAAAATTCAAAATTTTGAAAATTTCAAAATTTCAAAAAAATTCATAACTTTTTTGTTTTTTGTTATACAAAATAGTGTCTCATGGAAAAGTTGTTTGTTTTTGTACAAATTTTAAGGAAAAAATTAGAAAAAAATATTTTTTTTAAAATTGTAAAAAATACAAAATTTTGAAAATTTAAAAGTTTTGTATTTTTGTCGTTTTTTGACGAAATGAGCTGACCAACGAACTTAGGCTTCATTTTAATGGACTTAAAAAGCACCCCAAATTTCAAGTCGATTTGTTAAAATTTATTCGAGTTATCGTCGAGACAAAATTTTCTACAGACAGACAGACACTTCTCTAAAAACCATTTTTTTGGAATCAGGGGGTCATGAAACGTAAAGATTTATCAAAATTAGAAATTTCTTAAAATCGCACAAATCCAAGACTTTCTCATTTTTGATGAGAACGTTAAAAACAAATTTTACGAAAAAATTAAAAAAAAGCAAAATTTTCGGATATTTTGAGTTCTTTTTTGTTCCTTATTTTGTATATTTACCTAAATTTGGCATCTAAAAGAAAAAAATGAAAGTTTTGACATGTTTTTAATGTTTTTTAATGTTTCGGCTAATGCTTCACTCACTATAAATCCCAATTTTTTGCACTTTTTTGGAAAAAAAATTCATAACTTTTTTGTTTTTTGTTATACAAAAAAGTGTCTAAAGGAAAAGTTGTTTGTTTTTGTACAAATTTTAAGGAAAAAAATTAAAAATTTTTTTTTTTTGAAAATTCCAAAATTTTGAAAATTTCAAAATTTCAAGAAAATTCATAACTTTTTTGTTTTTTGTTATACAAAAAAGTGTCTTATGGAAAAGTTGTTTGTTTTTGTACAAATTTTAAGGAAAAAATTAGAAAAAAATATTTTTTTGAAAATTGTAAAAAATACAAAATTTTGAAAATTTAAAAGTTTTGTATTTTTGTCGTTTTTTGACGAAATGAGCTGACCAACGAACTCAGGCTTAATTTTAATGGACTAAAAAAGCACCCCAAATTGCAAATTGATTCATTAAAATTTATTCGAGTTATCGTCGAGACAAAATTTTCTACAGACAGACAGACACTTCTCTAAAAACCTTTTTTTTGGAATCAGGGGGTCATGAATCGTGAAGATTTATCAAAATTAGAAATTTCTCAAAATCGCACAAATCCAAGACTTTCTCATTTTTGATGAGAATGTAATTATCCGCCATATTAGATCCGCCATTTTGAATTATCAAAAACTGACTTCGGATTCGTAATCAGCGTCCCTAAAAACCCCTAGATACTAAGTTTCAAACAAATCCAACTTTCGGAAAAATGTATGCATTTGGTAACCACTTTTCCGGTGGAAAGTCATGCGCTAGAGGGTTAAATTTTAAATGTGCGATGCTAAGAAACGCAAAGATGAGACATTCGATACTATAAAATATTGTCAAGTTTACACTGTAAAAAGAAGGCATCTTATTTTAAGATACTATTGTAGTCACATCTTCGTTTCGCAAAAGTTATCAAAAATATTTTAAAGTGCATTCATCTTTAAGATGATGGATTGAAAAATACGATGCTTTAAATATCTTAAAAGTGGACTACAATGTGTTTTAATATTCTTCTTTTTTTTGCAGTGAAATTCTAAACCTAAATAGCACAACATATGACAATAATATTGCCATACTCAAATTTATTCGGATTCGCTTGAAACTCGTTACTCAGGTGTTTCCGGGGTTGTTGATAACGAATCCAATGTCAGATTTGCAAAATTCAAAATGGCGGATCTAATATGGCTGATGCCGACGCCAATGTGATGTCAGTTTTTAAAAATTTTAAATGGCGGATCCAATATGGCTGCTTTTTAAAGCATCTTTTTAAACTCTGGCATATTTTTTAAAAATTGTACACAAAATTTAAAACTTATGTGGGTGTCATCCTTCAAATTTCATCTTTAATTTAAGACCAAAGAAGTTAAAAAAATACAAAATTGACTAATTCAATGCATTTGTCCAAGAACATGCTCTGACATTTATAATGATATCTCGTAAACTGAATAAGATTTTTTAACTTCTTTGGTCTTAAATTAAATATGAAATTTGAAGGATGACACCCATATAAGTTTTAAATTTTGTGTACAATTTTTAAAAAATATGCCAGAGTTTAAAAAATTGTCCAAAAAATTTTCATTTTTAAAATTTTTTTTCAAGTTTGTCGATTTCTCAAATCCTTGTGCATTTTATTGAAATTTTTTATTGTGTATCATTTAACGTAGAATATTATAAGCTTTTAAATGGTTTATTAGTTTTTTTTCTGCGATTTTTTTTTACAGAGAAATCGTGATTTAAAGATTGATATGTTAATGGTCAATGCGCGTCGAGTACAGCTGTATATTAATTTTTTAAATGCTTTTTTTACATCTTACTTGTGTATTCATACAGATCAAGATTCAAATGGAAAATTTTATGAAATGTTCAACATTTATAAACTATACATTCATTATTTCGCTCATAAAACGAACTTAAATTTTTTTATAAAATTAGAATTCACAATACAGTAAAGTTAAGAATATTTAATTAATTACAATATAAACTGGCTAAAATCTACTTTGACTTGAGTATAGATGACGATGAATGAATAACATAATGAAAATTTAAAAAAAATATTCGAATTTTGGCCGCTTTTGCCTATCTCCTGGCGCTCCACTGTGCCTTGATTTAATATTGTCTGGAAATATTTTGGCAATATTTCCGGTCAATTTCGTCAAATATTGCTTCAAGGCATACATAATAATCAATATTGCAGGTATATTGACAATATTACTAGATGGAATATTGACGCAATATTGTTGATATTTAGGGAAATCATTTCATCATAATTAAATTATCAAAAACATACTCGCCCCGAATTATATAGTTGAGATAATCAACTTTCCACTGTAATTCATTTTAAATTTGAGAAATTAATTTTCGACAAAAATGACATTAAGGGGGAGAATTGTTTTCTTTTAAACCCTTTTGTTTTGGGAGGAACTATATGACACATAACATAAGTAAATTGACGTATATACAGTTGATGTATAATGAAAATTTGTTTTCCACTGCGTGGAACAAGCATAATTTCCGGTCAATTTTCCAGTGAACGGTTACTGATGATAATTTCGATCGTAAAGAAAAGTTGTTTGCAGGTGGCATATATGTATATACGTATATAATAGTAGTATAGGTAGGATAGAATGCCGACCAACAGCTTGTTGTTGCCCAGTGCACGAGGTAAGGTTTGGTGTACACATCACGCCGTTGAACTGGGGGCTTTCGGGGGGTTGCAAGGGGGGAGCTAGGCGAAGGGGGTTTGGAAAAGGACAAACCGACGGACGGTGGTTGCGGATAGCGGTTGCGAACCATATACACGAGCATAAGAGTAGTGTAGCAGGAGCAAGATGGCCGACCGATGAAAATCAGGGGCGCAAGCGTAACATTTCAAACTCCGCCCTCCACTAGATCATCCCTTCTTGTTTCATCTTTTCCTATCATCCTTGTCGACATCATCATTTTCCAATTTCGTCCTTCTCTATCGCTCACAAAGGGGGGTGCAGGGTTATCATCACCCCCTTCTTTAACAACCAACCCTGCCGTGAGCACGCGCTCCTCTTCTCTTCCACCAACCCTCCAACCCTTGCCTGTGTTACCACCTCCACCCTGACCCCCTTCTCGAAGCGATATAGTGCATCTGCAGAACATGTCGCGCACTCTTCGCAACCAGTCACCATCAAAAAACGCGAATATCGCCGCAATGCACACGGACGACATTTATCATCACTGATAACAGAAAAACAAAACAAAAACAAAACAAAAAGTGTAAACACTAATCTTGACACTTGAATTGGATAAGTGCTTTTGTTATTTGTTGTGTTGTGTGTTCCACCCTGACAGTGACCCCCAAATTAAAGGAATTTTATTTTCTATTCGCATGCTAAATAAGTAAATATGAAAAAACCCAAGGAATTAGTACCCTTCCGCTGTGATGGGATCTAGAAGAAGTACATTTGGGAACACTTTCTAGGACCGTTTTTGAAAAGAAAAATTTCTGTGATTGATACTTTTATACCGAGTGATTAATATTGTTGAGTGCAAGTGACTGTTTTTTGTTTCTTTGCTTTTCAGCAAAAGAAAAAGGAATTATATTATTGTCAGTAGAGAGAAACAAAAATTGGAATTGTCATTCTCTAAATAGAGAGAAAGAAAAGTTTTTGTATAGAGAATTTTTTTCTGTGAATCTCGCATACAGATGCGTGATTATTTAAAAGTGCGGAGAAGCGCGACCGTCGCTATTGGAAACGATCCAAAAATTAACGGTTGTTAAATTTAAGGAGAAAAAAAGAAAGAAAGGAAGGAAAGAAAAGAAAAGTATAGTGTTTAGTAGGGCAAATGTACTGACTGCCTAATGATGATGTACTCGCCGGATAAGATGATGGGAAGTAAGGGACTCCATGGGGCACCAATTTCTGCTCCAGGATGTTTTCCCTCCGGAAGGTATTCGCCGCCGTCGTATCGTTCGGGTCCCGATCCCATGGCGCCGCCGCCTAGACGTTGTATGCCTAATCCTACTGTGAGTAGTTGTTTTTCTATTAATTATTTAAGAGTAGGAAAGGAGAGGGGGTGGGGGAATTTGTCTTTTATTATCAATCTGAATGAGATTGAATCACTGCTTTATTTTTATTCTCAATTATAATCTGGGTGAAGTTCACAACGTTTACGATCAATTATTGAAGGAAGAAAATATTTTTCATAGCTGCAAACAATATTTTACTATCCATTTTATTATTTAGTATACATAATTGTAATAATAGAATTTGTCGGTATTTTTTAAACTATTTTGTTGGATTTTTAATTAATTTATGATTTTGTTTAAAAATGTTTGTTTTCTGAATTATTGGTGAAGAAACATTGTTAACTAACATTGGTAACAAATTTTTTTTATGATTTTGGTTAAAACTTTTTATCTTCTGAATTATTGATGAAGAAACGTTGTTAAAAAGTTTTATATGATTTTGATTAAAAATTATTATCTTTTGAATTATTGATGAAGAAACATTGTTATCAAGTTTTTTTCTAGCGGTCAGAGAAGCCAGATAAGTCAAAATTTTTTAGTCAGGGAATTTTATTCCAAGTTAATGAAAAGACTTTAACAAAATTAGCTGGGAAATTCAACTATCGTATAGGGTAGTTGAGTGGAAAGTAGTTAAATTATTTTTTTAGTTAATCTAACCCCGTTTTAGTAATTGACTTTACTATTTTTTATGCAGTTAAAAAATAAAAGTTCAGTTGACTTAAATAACGCAGTTGAATTCTCAAAATAACTTTAAAATTTTATTTTTTCAACTACATTCTTACAACTACTTCGGAATTTTTTAAAGTGAATTTCTTTAAAATTAGTATGAACTTAAAAAATTATCAAAATTTTTGATAAATTTAAAAATTATCAAAAATTTTTTTCCAGAATTTTGAAATAAGGTTTTTTTGCATTTCGAAATTTTTGAAAATATTCATATCGGTAAAAATTTGAACCTTCATAACTTATGAATTATAAAATTAGAGAAAAAGTCAGGAAACGTCAGGGAATTTTTTTTCAATCCCTGTCGGACACTCTCCAGAGAAGAAAACAATTTTTGCTTAAATCCTTGATTATAAACATTGTGAAGTTCACCAACGTCGGAATTAGTGAAATTTTTACCGTATGCCGAATTAGTGATCATAATAACTTCTGTCTTCCTAAATTAGAGAAATTCCATTAAATAATTGAGGTAGGAATTAATTACTGATTGGTAAACAGTGAAAATTTCATACTGATTGAAGTAAATTATACTAATTGTCAGACGGCAAAAATTTCACTGATTGAGATAGCAAGAAGTTAAGTAAAAATTAATATGCAGCAAAAATTTTATCGATTCCCTCTCTAAATGTGAAAAAGCGATAACTATACTACTAATTGTACAATTAGCGTTTATACATTTACTAAATCATCAGCAAAAACTAATTCGCTAGTTGGTACATTCTTGGTTTTGAAATTAAAGGTAGTATCGTTAATAGTCAGTGTAATATCACTAATTCAGATTTCGACAGCATATTTGAGGAGTTTGAAAGTGCACCTTAGATATGAAATAGCGATAAGTATATCACTAATCATAGTAATTTTCATATATTAGTGTCATTTTGCTAAATTTTCCAATGATTATTACTGATTAATTAGCGATTATTCGCTTTTTGAAATTAGTGATAAAGTAATTGCTGTGAATCAGTGAAATTCCACTGATGAAGCATTGAATTTTCACTAACAATAAGTAATCATAGCGATTTTGAAATTTGTGAATTAGTGTACGCTTTTTAAAATTAGTGATACATTTATCGTTGTGAATCAGTAAAACTTTACTTATTTAGACTCAGAGAGCAGATAAAGGGGAAATAAAAGTACTGTTTAGATATGAAATAGCGATAAGTATACATCTGATTATAGTGATTATTATTATTAGCGAATCATTAGCGAAAATTAGTTTCTTGAAATTACTGGTGAACTTATCGCTAATGAATTATATAAAATAGATAATAGCGCATTGGATATTAATTAACGCATAATACACTTTTTGGAATTAGTGATTAGGTTAGCGATAAAGTTTCCTCAGTTGAAAATCAGTAAAATTTTTCCCATAAATTAGCGAAATTTACTGTTTGATCAACAATAATCCACTTTTTGGAATAGTCATAAAATTATTTCTTGAAATCAGTGGAATTTAAACTGATTAATTAGCGAATCATTAAATAAAATTAGCTTCTTGAAATTAGTGATAAACTTATCGTTAAAGAACCAGTGAAATTTCGCTGATGAATTAACGAAATTGCATTGGATAATTAATGTATAAATATAAGCTTTTTGGAATTAGTGATAAAGTTAGCGTTTGGAAATCAGGGAAAGTTTTCTGATAAATTAGCGAATTTTACTGATCAATTATCGAATGTTCGCTTTTTGGAATTAGTGATAAAGTTATTGCTGTGGAAATCAGTGAAATGTCTCTACTGTATTAGCGAATTTTTACTGATTAAATAGTGAATATATAATTTTTGTAATCTCTATAGGAATCATTTCGCTAATAAAGTAACGAATTTTCACTAATTAATTGTCGATCATAGAATTAGTGAATTAGTGAACGCTTTTAGAACTAGTGCTAATCAGTGAAATGTCTTTAATTCAGACTTAGAAAACAATGTAAGATTTGTAATTTTAACAATATTATTGAGAATTTGAAAAAACAATAAATGGGTTTTTTTTATTGATGTTGTGGTATTTTTTATTCGTAGCATTTGTTTTGACATTAATTCATAAATTTGATTCGTGAAATGCTTTTCGTATAAATTTTTTGGTTTGTTTTTACAAAAAAGTTCAATTTTGATTTAGTGCGTTCTTTCATACAGTTTGTTAATAATTGGTTTTTAATTAATTCTTAATTAATAAAATAATAAGAAAAAAATACTTAGTTTCAAAACAGATGCGATTTGCCTGTAAATATTGCATCATCTCTAATTTTACAGTATATGCGAGAAAACATCAAGAAAAGGTTAGATTTGATAATTCTATTTTTAGTTTTTAAACGACTTCCTTATAAGGGCAGGACAAAGAGGTCAGTGTTTTCATTTTAAAGCTGCATTTTTGTATGTATAAAAATCGTAACGACTTTGACATACCCTTAAGAGACATATGCTAACCTTAAGAGACGTGGTTGCTTATTTGTTTTTACAATGAACGGAAAAAGTTTTTACTTTCCAGAGATCATGTTAAATATTTAACAAACGATCAATACTTCGCTATTGTTTTTGTTTGTTTAGACATTATCACCTTTTGTTTTTGTTGACATTTTTAACAGCATTTTTACCACTGTTGTTTTATTTACAACAATAATCGAATACACGCAGGTATATATATTCGATTTACTATTCCAGTTTCTTTTTCTTTGATAAACCACTGATTCGCGCATAAATAGTGAAAATGACAACTTCATCAATGAACCAAGTTTGCGAATGAATTATAAAATCAGTGAAATTTAATTTTTACTGATTTAGATAGTGTAAATTCTTAATCAGCCTATATAGAGATTTCGAAAGAGTATATGAATTCTACTGCAAGTAGTTACAGACATAGTTAATGAAATTCATAATTAATATACACACGGTAAATACTTCGATGTTGGTTATATTAAAGACGATGTGGGACTATGTTTAGAAATTTATTAATAATTTGAAATTCAAGGAACTTTCTTGAAAATTAATTCTATGGATATCAATAAAATGTCTTTTGGAATTTACAGAGAGTAAATAGTTTGGTGTTGTAAAATAACTTATTAAACAGTTTCGGTATATGTGTTAGTTTCTTTTTTAATAGTAGCAGGATATTGGGAACAATGAATTATAAATTCGTCAGCTTAAATATTTATAAATGCTTTAAATATTTACTTCGCTATGGTATGAAAAATTATAATAACATAAGATTTTAATTGTATATACATAGATATTAGATGAAATGTTAATTTGAATGAATGTAGTTTTTAATAATAATTGCATTTTAGAGAATGACACTTCCTTTTTATTTATGACTTAAATTGATTGCTTGCTCTTGTAAAGTAATGAATTGTATAAAATAGAAAAATAATGATTTACTTCCTGAATTAAGCGCTAATTTAAATGAATTATGCAGTGTCGGACTGCAGTTACTAATTTTTAATTGTTATATAAGAAATTACATTCCTTCTCTTCTTTAGTTTTTTGGAATCTTTGCAGTAAATCGAATTTTTATATCATTTTACTACACTTGAATCTTTTTTGTGAAATATTCCACAAAGAATCTGTTGTGACAAAAATGTTGCTTTTTCTACTTTCCCAACTGCTTTAATAATACAGAGAGTAACAAAACTGTTTGATTCACTCAACGGAATATTTTTTTTGGTTTTTTTCAGGTTTAAGAAATTTTTTCTAAGAGCCAGACAAGTGGCAATTTTCAGAGATACAGAGACAGTGAAGTTATCGTAATTTTAATCATTGACATAAAGTATAGACTGTTAAATAGTGCGCAAACAAAATAAGTAGTACGAATCAAATTTTGGTCGAGTGGACAAAATAATTTCAATGCTATTTTTTAGTAAAAAGAACAAAATGTTTTTGTAGACAATGTCCTTTTTCTAATCGAGACAATAAAATTCTTATTTGCTAAAACAATAAAATTACATTGACAGGGCACTGTTATTTTTCTCTAGTGTTTATCGAATTAACTACTGATTGGTAAAGAGGGAAAATTCCATACTGTTCGAAGTAGCTAGAAGTAAATTATACTAATTGGTATACACGGAAAGAAATTTTAGTCCAAAATTTAACAAACAGATTATTAAACTTAAGCTATTTGATGTTTGCTACAAAATATTAATAGAGTCGCTAGTAAAATGTCACAGTGAAAAGAAAGGAATGAAACTTCATTGTCTATGAGGAAGCAAAGTGTTCATGAAATGATGACAAAAATTAAACCAATAATGATGAAACTCTTAAAAAAATTCCTTGTAGATTTGACTA